TGACTGACTTACAGTGGATCCCCCTGTCCGTTCCATTAGGGAGACCCAGAGGTGAACTGTAGAAGGAATCCTTCACTTAATGATCTAAGTTATAATTATTACAAGCATATGCCCCCACAGTGGCATCGGCTATGTTAGTTATTACCGGTACTTCGATTATATTACAACAGAACATTTTAATTTGACTTTTATTTTTACTGTAATATTACTAGTAATGACTTACTGGCCAACAGTGCCCATTAGCGTCTGATGTATTCTTTAAGTGAAAACTGCATGATGGAAATGAGGCGGGCCAACTGGTGGACGCTTCACTTCCTTGTTCTTTTGGGGAGGACGTAAACTTTTCACGGAACGGACGAGTGACTTTATTCGGCTGAGATAGCGCTCAATGTTGGAAGCAAACATCTAAAAGTGTTCATTGGTCGCTGTGAGCTGGCAGAACGTCTGAAGCTATGGCGGACAGCCGAGAAGAGGAGAAAAAAGAAAGAGACCAGGAGCCTCAGGGCGCCGTTGGAGGGGAAGGTAATTGATGTGAAGCCATGATGTCCGGTTGACAGACAAGCTTTGCGGCCTTTTTTTCACTACAAACACAGAACGTCGTTCAAGTCCCACATGAGAGTCAAATTCAGGGTAGTTAAAATCCCATTTTTATATCAGCGTTGAAGGGACCGGAAAGTCCTCGTTGTAATGTTCTTCTTTTTAACTTTACCTGAAGCTAACCTTATCCTTAACCATTGGCCTTTTCGGTGCTTTACCCCACTGTAACCGCAACAGGTTATCTCTGCTACCACTACCGAGAACCTAACCGAAGGGTAACGGCAACCACAGGGACAGGGGGTGGGCGCTACCGGAAATAACGTTATCACCTGAAGTTGACATGAAGTTTTAGCTAACATTAGCTGTTTGCCGACAAGACTCACTTACCTGAAAATGCTAAAGTTGCCTCGTTAAAGAGTGTTTTCGTGTAGGTGATAACGTTAGCTTCCTCTGTGCTGTGGTTGATCCAGAAAGCCTCAGATAGCAGTACAACGTGCTCTTTCCTAACTGGTTAAATGCAGCTAGACAAGTGTTGAAAATGAGCTCACGGTTTGTATGCCGATTTAATGTGGGCATTGTAAAGAACCGCAGAGGCCTTATGTCTGCTCTGTGTGCTAACTGTAATGCGGCTGCTCATAAACAATGTCATAAAACGGGTAGAGTTTGGCCTTAGTCCGGTCAGTAATCCAGAGTAGGTGTGCTGGAGCTGGAAGGGCTGAAAAGTTTCAAACTTTAGTTGATGTGCAGTTCAAACCAACTATCTTTTTAATACATGAACACCACTACGAGTTAGATGATGATCAAACAACGATGAGCCTTTTTCCATTACGGGGTTAAATACTATACTGATAATGTCATTAAAGAGGTCACATCGACAGTGAAAGAGATACTTTTAAAATAAACTTTCAATTTGAGATGTTTCGAGGAATATTTAGGCAATAGAAACAACATTAGACTACATTGTTGAAAGAAACTTAAACAGGCCAGGACCTTAATTTTAGTTTAATATTTAGCTGCCTACTCAAAAGATATGACTGATTATGTTATTGCTGGGAATCATTTTTGTAAGAACTACCTCATTGCAATGATTCATTAGCAAGTAAAGAGTCTAAATCACAAAAAGTTGTTATGCTTTATGGTAGATCGGTTGTAATTATAATTGTTTTTATTTACAAAACCACTGTTTTGAATATAATTCTGGAAATGAATTCCCCAACTCTGTTAAAGCCACTGTCTAATTGACATACAGTGTTTTATTAATGCCAGTATAGATGTTAGAAAATATACTGAATAGTTTGTAAAATATTGTCAAACTAGATTTTATCCAACAACAAGTAAGACGCCACACATAATCAGAGGCTGCTGAGAGAAAACATCTTAAAAACAACTTCATTGTTTGGCATGGTAAATATCATGGCACTGACAGCATTACTTTTATGCAGTTGTGTAAAATTCCACTTGCAAATGGATGCATAGAGCACTAATATTATAAATCAAGGCCTTTTCAATCATATTTGTTTGTACTTAATGTTAACACTGACAAACCATAAATTACAAATGTGATGCCCCAGGCATGCTTTCTCAGTCAGATATAGCTGTTGCTCCAGGGTCGATTGATGTGACACTTGCCATGCATCAAAGTGAAACCAAGAAAACCTCTTATGAATAGTACACCTGTTGTAGCACATGCAGTTGTAGGGAACGCAGCACCTCCTCCATGCCTTCTCAGTGGTTATGTGAGCTCAGCCCAAGAAATGATACGTCCTTTCAAGAACACACATTCCAGTAAAGCAGCTACACAGGTGGCTTTCTTCAATATAACCTCAACTCCTGTCTGTCCTGTGTTGGCTGTGTCTGCCACAGCGACAAAAATATTTGCTCAGATTCTTGTTACAATAAGTAAATAGGGTAAATTGGGGTAAAAATGTTTACTTTTTCATGCAGACAGAAAAGTGAGGTATACATTTGTCTTTATCACAGTTGCTGTCAAACACTGCTATCTGAACGTTTGGGGTTTAAACACAAATCAGTACAATTTTTTTGAGAATTGATACAATATCACAAAATAAAATCCCAATTCAATATTTTTTAAAATAATTTCTTACACCCCTAGTGTAAGTGTATAATGGGCAATTAACCATTGTAATGAAGAATAACACATTTAACTGGGTTGAGCTAGAGCAGCAAAATACTACCAGCAACACAGAAGCACTCAACTGGTCTTTTATGTTATATATTGGTTTACGGACATAATGCACAAACATAAATAATCAAATAATGTGTGTTTTTAGAACGAATAACTGATATTCCTTTTGGCCACTTTAGACAGCACTACCCTATAGGGCACTTTATTATCCAATTTGGTACATTTAAACACACTGTCATTATTAAAATATACAGATGTCATCGATGATCCCATCCTGGAGCAAGGAGCAGTGGTCCTCAGAGGGTAAGTCTCATCACACAGTACCAAGTTGATATATAATCATATTAATAATAGTCTTTATTTATGCTGTGCTTTTCCAAACAAAGTTACAAAGTGGTTGACACAGTTGAACCAGGAATAAATGCAATCAATTATAATAAAGAGGATATAAATGTATATACGTGTGTATGACCTTTGGAGAATAGAATGAAGGACCATACCAGTGTTTTTCATGCTTTGCTCAGTTTGCTACAAATTACATTTTAACCATTCTCCAAAACAGTCCATATTTTACTGGACTGATGGAGGACCAAATCCACATCCTCATTCTGTGTGTATGTCATAGGTATGTGATTGAGCGTATAAACACAGAGGACCCTGATCGACTGGTCTCCTCTGAGGACCTGGGAGGAAGGCCTAATGAACAACAGGATCCACATATCAAAGACGTGGTGGAACAACTGATCAAGATTGCAGACGAGCTGAACAGGAATGCTGAGCTCCAACGGTAAGCTGTACATCATGTACAAAAACGGCAGCTATTTATAGACCAAGGTGACCAATGGCCATTAAGTATTGTATATTTCCATTGTTCCATGCACATTACAATTGAATGTACTTGGTTGCCTTTGCTAGTAATATATTGGTGTCACTTCAAAGTTTATCCAGCAGAGTGCACTGTGATTTCCAATACTGTGGCAACCAGCACAGAGTAAGAGAGAAGAAGCAGCTTCCCTCTAAAATCAGTATTGGTCCCATATTGGTTGGTCTCTGGGTAAAGCGGGTGCAACAAAACAGCACTAAGATAAGATAAGATAAGATGTACCTTTGAATGTACCGAGAAATTCAAGTTAGACACAGCAGCATAGGGGAATGTAGTGCAAAGATTACAGAAGTGTACAATAAGAATCCCAAAATAAGAATATTACAAAATATAATAGAAAAGTATAGTTGCACTGTAGTTGGGCAAAAGTTTGTGCGTCATAGCTTGGAGTTTAAACCAGTCTTAGTCAGTGGCGGTTGGAGGTACTGGGTGCTGTGGCGTTTTGGAGTCTGATGGAACAAACAAGCCTCCAAATCTGCTTTGAGGCTCGATGCTGGATTAGTCTGTGGCTGAAAGTGCTCCTGAGCTGCCTTAGCTTAGTGAGGGTGAGAGGGGTCGTCCATGATGGCTTTCAGCTTCCCTCTCATCCTCTTTTCAGTCACTGCCTCCACACTGTTAAGCTCCATCCCCACCACCGTGCTGGCCTTCTTCAGCAACTTGTTGAGTTTGTCGGCACCACAAGTGCTGAAGCCACCACCCCAACAGACCACTGCAAAGAAGAGGACACTGGCCACAACAGACTGGTAGAACATCCGTAGTAGCCGAGTGCACACGTTGAATGACCTGAGCCTCCTCAGAAAGAACAGCCTGCTTTGTCCTTTACTGTAGAGGGCCTCAGTGTGATCCATCCAGTCCAGTTTGTTGTTGAGCTCTACCCCAAGGAACTTGTACGTGTCCACTATTTCTACCCTGTCTACCAGCTCCTTGGATTTCCGTGTGTTGAGCTGTAGGTGATTTCTGTCACACCGTCCTATGAAGTTCTTAAGTAGGTCTCTGTACTCCTTCTCCCTATCATCTGAGATACAGCCGACAATGGAGGAGTCATCGGAGAACTTCTGTAGGTGGCAC